GAATACTATTTGACAAAAAAAAAAAAAAAAAATCAAGAATTGCACATACTAAAACATACATAAGCATTAAAAACATGCTAAATAAAAGAAGTGAGAAATAAACCTGGCACACAGGCACCAGTCTGTAATCCCAGCAGCTGGGGAAGTGGTTCTCAGGCAGGAAGATGGTGAGTTCAAAGCCAGCCTCAGCAATTTAGTGAGGCCCTAAGCAAATCAGCAAGACCCTGTCTCTAAATAAAATATTAAAAAGGGCTGGGGCTGTGGATCAGTGGTTAAGTGCTCCTGGGTTCAATCCCCAGGAGCACTTAACCACTGGGGGGAAAAAAAAAAAAAAAACATGAGACATGAAAGACCAAATATTGGAATGATTCTACTTACATGACCTGTCCCAAGTAGGCAACTTGCAGGAGGTATGTTAGTGGTTGCTAGATGGGGAGTGAAAAGATAGAACAGTGGAAGGAGACTGCTGTTGGGTATGGGGTTTCTTTCTCAGGTGATGAAAATGTTCTAAAATTATGGTGATTAATGGCTGCACAATTCTGTGAATATACTAAATACCACTGAAATGGACTTTTTGGGGGTACTGGAGATTGAACCCCAGGGGCATTTAACCCCTGAGCCACATCCTCAGCCTTTTTTTTTTATTTTATTTTGAGACAGGGTCTCCATGAGTTGCTTAGGACCTCAGTAAGTTGCTGAGGCTGGCTTTGAACACCCAATCCTCCTACCTCAGCCTCTTGAGCCGCTAGGATTACAGGTGTCTGCCACCATGCCCAGGTTGAACCGTATACTTTAAATGGCTTATGAACTATATCTTAATAAAGCTGTTAAAAAAAAAAAAAGCAATTTGCATTAGATGCAAAGTGCTAAAGAAGGAGTAAAGAATCTTGTTCAGTCATTTTAAAGGACCTAAACTAGGGCAATGAAAACCCGGAGAGATTCTATTACTTAACATTCTAGGTACTAGGTCATACTGAAATATTCATGAAGAATTCCATGTTTTAATACATAAAAAGTACCTTAAGTTTAAAAAGACACACCATCGCCCAAAAAGAGTTTTCATAATTCAGAGACAGACTAACAGGAAAGTCATCAAATGAAAACCAATTTTAAAAGGATGTATTACATGGATTTGTACCCTGAATATGAAAGTAGCACTTAAATTTATTATTGTCCTACCCGTGAAAAAGAAGTCAAAAGTAAAAGAGTCCAATTAATATGTTTCTATAGTACTAGTTTGTGACAAATTAAAATATCAAGAAATGAATGGGGCTGGGTTATGGCTCAGTGGTAGAGTGCTCGCCTAGCACATGTTGAGGCCCTGGGTTTGATCCTCAGCACCACATATAAATAAATAAAATAAAGATATTGTGTCCACCTAAAACTAAAAAATAAACATCTAAAAAAAAGGAAAGAAATGAATACCCTGCATCATAAAAAACTGAATCTTCCACATTCCCCCCTTATATAACTAACAATTTATTATTTTGAACATTCCATCTCATAGACATTACAGTGACTTTCCTAATGGTTGGAGTGGATCCCAGAAGTGACAGGTGTGTCACACATAAAACTTGTATCACAAAAAATCAAAGTGTACGGGGAGGGGGTCAGGGTGGAGGGAGCGCTATGACTGTGGCTCAGCAGTAGAACGCTCACCTAGCACATGCAGGGCGCTGGATTCGATCCTCAGCACCACATAAAAATAAAATAAAGGTATTGTGTCCAACTACAATTAAAACAAAATTTTTTTTAAAAAAATTCAAGTATTTAAAAAATGCTATTATTGACCCTGAATCTAATCCTAAACTGTACATAAATAAACATAAATGCTCATTAACATAATCTGCAAGCAAAGTAACAATCATATAAGATTTAATACTGTGTGCAGTAATATTTCACTGACATATTAAAATTCATCAGGCTTCAGAGTATCATCCACAAGTAATCAAAAATAGAGGGCTGGGGCTACGGCTCAGTGGTAGCACACTTGCCTCGCATGTGTGAGGCACTGGGTTTGATTCTCAGCACCATGTAAAATAAATAAAGGACTATCAACAACTAAAAAAAAGAAAATTTAAAAATTAAAAAAAAAAAAAAAATCCGGAGATAAAGACCATGTGCGGCATGCCTGTATTCCCAGTGGCTGAGGCAGAAGGATCCCGAGTTCAAAGTCAGACTCAGCAAAAGTGAGACACTAAGCAACTCTGTAAGACCCTGTCTCAAAATACAAAATAGGGAGCCTGGGGTTGTGGCTCAGAGGTAGAGTGTTTGCCTAACATGCATGAGGCACTGAGTGTGATCCTCAGCAACACACAAAAATAAATAAAGGTATTGTGTCCACCTACAACTAAAAAACAAATGTTTTTAAAAAATTACAAAATAGGGCTGGGGATGTGGCCCTGAGTTCAATTCCCAGTCCCAAAAAAGAAAAATACAGAAAAGGCACACTCTAGAATTTTTTAAAAGGTATGTACTTAATTTTCACACCAAATCTTTGTTTGATCCTCAGTATACAAGCCTATCACCTACCACAAGGCACTCTACTTTCAGGCCACAATACAACACAATTCTCAGTTTTATTTCACTTTTTTTTCTATTTAAGCAAGCTCTCAGGGACTGGGGCTGTGCTCAGTGGTAGGGTGCTTGCCTGGCATGTGTGAGGCCCTGGGTTCGATCCTTATCACCACCTATAACAAATCCACTGGCAACTAAAAAATAAAATTAAAATTAAAAAAAAAGCAAGCTCTCAGGTCAATGTTTAATATTAGGCTTCCTAGTCAACATGACTTTGAAACACCTTCTAGCCCCCACCAAAAAAAAAAAAAAAAAAAAACACAAAAAAACAATTCTTACATCAACCTTCTGAAATGATAGAATAAAGTCTGAAATAGTTTACCCATTTCTTCAGCTTTACAGGGAATGTAGAAAAAGAATTAATATTAAACAGGTTTTTTTCACAACTCAACAAGACAGTAGGAAACAAGTACTTATATTTAATCATGTTTCTGTCTATCCTAGCAGGTCTAATTGTCAGGAGAGTTCTGCCAGATAAGGACAATGAGATGCGTTATTACATGGAGTGACTAAGAGACCTATAAGTACTGCTTTAGAATGTGATCCCAGGAAGGAAAGCTGTGGTAAAAGGGCCTAATATTTTTGTGGCAACTGTTCTCAAAAGTAAATATATTTGCCATCCAGTACGACTTTATAAGTTCGCACTATTGTCCATTCTTTTACAAATGTTTTATAGGAAAAATAAAATGCTTTATAGGAAGGAAAAGCCACTGTACTTTGTTACTCCGAGGGAGATGAACAACTTGCAATTTGCTTCTCACTCTGAATCCCACGTTTGCAACATGTAGAACAAGCACTTCAGACACCACAAAACAAGGGCAGCCTACATTAAAGCCAAATATAGGATGTGATTCTAAACCACGATGCAGTAAAGCCTACATTTCCTTTTCCAGCGATCAAAACCCTTTGAACACTCCCAAAAAAGGACGGCAGGGCCAGCACCACCCTCCAAGAGGAAGCCCCTTTCTTCTCGGCTCTCCCCGCAGCCTGCCACTTCCCCCCCTCCCCCAGTACACTGAGAGACCAAGAGCTGGTGTGCGTGCGCCGGGGGACAGGCGGGAGAGCTCGGTTCCTGCATTTCCACCCTCAACATCTGATCTCATCCTCTGTCATTTCGGCGCAGCGGAGCCCCACCTGCACCTCGCTCCTTTTCCCTGGGTCTCCCGCCAGCTGCCCTGCTATTAGAGAGCACACCTCTGAATCACAAGTGCGCCCAGACCCCCGACCCTGTAGCGTTTCTGCTAGCTCCCTCCTCTTCCCATCCCTCCCAGTCCCAGCCCTCCGCTCCCGCGACCCGGTGCAATCCCTTCCCAAGCCACCCCCACCGTCAGTACTCCATTACCCGGCCCCGCCCTGCCGGGACCCCAACCCAGACCTTCAGGGCCCCGAGGGGGCTCGCACCCAACGCCAGGCAACCCCCAGGCCAGGGAGCCACCGTCGCCGCTCCCACGCAGGGCCCGACTCGCCCCAGCCCGGAGGGAGCTGGCCCCAGCCCACCCCCACCCACTGGCTCCCAGGGGTGGCTCAGGCCCCGCCCCCAGGCCTGGCGCCCCTGGGCTCAGCGCCCTTCCCACCCTGCATCTCGCTCCACCGGGCGCCGGCCCCCGACCCGGGAAACATCCCTCGGGCAGCAGTGTCCGGTCGGCCCGCGGTTCCTCACCCTGCCCCGGGCTTCCAACCCCTAAAGCCCTCCCCTGGGCAGCCTCCTGCCCACCGGGGCCGCGTCTCACGCTCCTCAGGCCAACTGGGCGGTCCCCAAGCCCCCTCCGCGAATCCCAAGGCCCCCGCGGCAGCCCCTGGCCCTGACCCCGTGCACACCGCCTGAGGACCCGCGCCCCGCGCGCCACCCAGCCCTCTCCCCTCCACCGGGCCCTGCCCCTCGCCCCGCCGGCTCCTGTCAGCCGGCGCCGGCACATGCTGAGAGGACAGGTCCGCCCGCCCCGCTCGCTCCCGAGCGGTCCTGCCGGGCACGCGCCGCTCACCAGGGCCGAGGAGCCTGAGGCGCCACCGCCGCCGCCGCCGCCGCCGAAATCCCCGCTGCAAAGCCTGGCGAAGCCTCCAACCGCTGCCGCCTCCCGCCTGGCACTGAGCGCCGCGCGGGGGAGGGGCGAGGGCAGCCGCCACCGCCCCTGCCGCCACGCGCAGGCCCCGCCCCCGCGCCGCGCCGCGCCCAACCAGGGCCGCAGAGCTGCGCCGCACCACGCCCACTTCCGGGAGGGGAAGCCCGCTTCCCACCCTGCGTTCCACGCCTCGTCCTCCCCAGCGCCCCCTCTGGTAGCGCCGAGGGACGCGGTGGGCCGCAGAAGGCGGTGCCCAGACGCACCCCTCCCTTGAGTGATTGGGGCCACGCCCACAGGCACCCCCGAGCCCCGCCCAGTGCTCCTCAGAACCTGGAGCGGGGTTCCTAGGATCCGCCCACTGACCTGCTTGGCTCGGCCGGGCTCTGGCCGCCGGTCCTCAACGATTTCCCCAGAGACCCTCAAAACTGGAACTCTGAGCCCCACCCACGCCCATCAAGCCCCACAGCCGGCCTCCGGGCTCCGGCAGCACGGTCCCCTCCCGCGGCTACCGAGTGGCCCGTCGGCGATTCAAACCCCCGCCCCGACTTCCAGGAGCCCGCCCAGGGTCGCGTCATCCCTCTGCCGCATCCTCGGCCCCACCCACGGCCGACCCGAGGCTTCTGCTGCAATCCCTGCCCCAAATTCCCGAGTCCCCGCCTCTGGCCCCGAAGCCCCGCCCCGCACCCTCCTCGCCCTCCTCCGCCTCCGCGAGGACTCTGCCGGCTGCGGCCCTTGGCCTGCTGTGCTTGTCCCATGCCTAGTCCTAGGTGGCCCTCCTGGCTGGCCACACCCGCTTAGCCCCCGCACTGTCACGAGGAGAGCCAGTGATTCACCCCGTTTCGCAGGTGACGAGCAGGAAACTCCGGCATCCCTCCTTTCCCTGGCGAAAGTGTCTGAAGAACTGCGCAGCCCCAGTTGCTGCCCAGTTACTAGGAGATGGGATTCCAGTCCCATCTCTGGCCTGAGTGGCAACTCTGTCACCTGTTTGGGCCGAAATTTCCTAATCTTTAGCATAAAGCTGTCCAACCAAAAGCCAGAGTTCTTTTCTGAAATACCAAGTGTGGGGAAACTGGACCTGGGGAGCTGATAAAGCAGGCCTGCTGAGGGGGAGGGCTATTTGCTTCCCAGAGAAAGGAATCTTAGCAATTCCTGAAGTTTGGGAGGTGGGGCAGGGGCTGCTTTTCAGCTTTAAGCATCAGCCTCAGAAATTTGGAGAAGTAGCTCAGTGGTGGAGCTTGTGTGCTTGGTTGGGCCTTGGTTAGATTACTAGTGGAAGGAAAAAGGGAGGGTGGGAGGGAAGGAAAGAGGGATGCAAAAAGAGAAAGCAAAGTGTTCTGTAAATCAAGGTGCACCTGATCCAAAACAGCTTTCACAGCGAACTGCTTATACTCTCTGAGGCTCAGTTTCTTAGTCTGTGAAATGGGAATAATGACAGCCCCGCTCTGTGTTCTATGAGCTCATGTTAGTAATGCACCTAGAGCCTGGCTTGTGATAAACAGATGGTACCTGCTGCACTCCACTGCTGTGACTCACCAGGAGGGAAAGATGAGTGTTATTTTGCCTTGGAGCAGCCACTGCTAACAGGAGGGACAGCGCAATTTTTCTACAGCAAGACTTGCTACTCACTTCATTTAAATGACATAAAGGTGGCAAAGTGTTTGGTGCACTCACTGGCACGGGAATGTTTTAAAAAAAAAAATGCTGTTATGGGGGCTGAGGTTGTGGCTCAGTGGTAGAGCACTTGCCTAGCATGTGTGGGTTTGATCCTCAGCACCACATGAAAATAAATAAAATAAATGTATTGTGTTCATCTACAGCTAAAAAATATTTTTTAAAAAATGCTGTTATTGGGCTAGGGTTGTGGCCCAGCAGTAGAGCACTCGCCTCGCACGTTAGAGACCCTGGGTTTGATCCTCAGCACCACATAAAATAAATAAATAAATAAGTGAAATAAAGATGTTGTGTCCAACCACAACTAAAAAATTTTTTAAAAAATGTTGTTATTATGACTCTTATTTTTTTTTCTTGGTACAGAGGATTGAACCCAGGGGTGCTCTACCTCTGAGCTACATCTCCAGCCCCTTTTATTTTTGAGAGAGGGCCTCACTAAGTTGCCCAGGCTGGCCTCGAACCCATGATCCTCTTGCCTCAGCTGTCCAGGTTGCTGAGATTGCAAGTATTCATCACAGCACCCAGTTTATAATTCCTTTTTTTTGGGGGGGGGTACCCAGGATTGAACTCAGGGAACACTTAATCACTGAGTCACATCGTCAGCCCTTTTTATTTTTTTATTTTTTTTATTTTGAGACAATGTCTTGCCAAGTTGCTGAGTCTGGTTTTGAACTTGGATTCCTCCTGTCTCAGCCTCCCAAGCCACTGAGATTACAGGCGTGTGCCACTACGCCCAGCACAATTCCTATGTTTCAGGGCATTGATCCACAGCAGTGGATTCTGAGTAGCTGAGGAAAATGAGAATTGATAAAGGGTTTTAAGATAGAACTGTGAACCATGGAGTAAACTGGCTTTTGGGAAACAGATATATCTAATATTTATCCATCACTGAAATGTGCCAGGCACTATCTGAGCACCTTACACGCGGAGCCATCTGAAATCCCCTCAACAACCCAGTGACCATGGAAAGAATTTTTTTTCTTTCTTTTTTTTTAATGTGGTGCTCAGGATCGAACCCGGGGCCTTGCACGTGCTAGGCGAGTACTCTACCACTGAGCCACAATCCCAGCCCCAAGAATTTTTTTTCATAGAAAGAATTCTTAATCCCCAGCTATAAAGATGAAGAAACAGGCTCAGAGAAGTTACATTACCTGAGATCACGTGGCTTGACCCAGGTAGAATCACACCCTGTATTTGCAGAGGCTGCCCTCTTCGCCAGTTAGTCATTACACACACAACTGCCTCTGGGGCAGCTTGACAGAAAAGAAAAACCGTGGACTTTGGATTTTGACAGACTTGGGTTTAAATTCATGCTCAACTTAGTCATCAGAGGATATAGGGTGAGTCACTTTCCCTCTCTGAGCTCTTCTCTCTCATTTGCACAGAGAGGATCATGTCAAGGATTACTTCAGGAAGTGGTTCTGAAGATCCAGGATCCAGGCGTTCTCAGTGGGGGGGTTGTTTGGTTTGGATTTTGTGGATAGAACCCAGAGCCTCATGCACACTGGGCAAATGCTCTATCGCTGAGTTACACCTGCAGTCTGCGAATCTGTTTTTTTTTTTTTTTTCGTACCAGGGATTGAACTCAGGGACACTCAACCACTGAGCCACATCCCCAGCCCTCAAAGCTGAGGCTGGCTTTGAACTCGTAAATCTCCTGCCTCGGGCTCCTGACCCACTGGGATTACAGGTGTGTGCCACCATGCCCGCCTTCCCAGAAGCTTTTAATCAATAAATTAAGGCCAGACAAAACACCCAGCACATACCAGTTGTTTAAAACATATTGATTCCTTTCTCTCAGTTCTTTAGATGATAAAATTAGAAGATTTCCAATGACAGCGATCCCCCCTCCACAACGCCACCAGTGAAATGTGCTGAGACAGAAGGATCCCAAGGACTTTGCCTTCCAGCTGCCAGTTTCAGTTCCTCATACTATCCCTGGGTTTCAAGGAGATGATTCTTGCACAGGAAACACCCAAAGCCAAAGCAATGCCACCTCACCACCTCCCTCCACACCTGCCCCAAATGTGGCCAGCCGAGAGCTGCTGGTCTCAGCAATAGTAGGAACATTATAGAATCCTTTGCTAGGAGAAAAGCCCATTCCTTTGCTCTTCCTGAGTCTATAATAACCCCTCTGTGGGCCCCCCCTCCTCAAAAAAAAAACCTTGGCCTCTGTCCAAGCTGACCCTAAATGAAGAGAATCAAGTTCAAGTAAGATGCTGGATTGAGGAGTGTTTCCTTATCTGGGTTCGGTGGCACACACCTGTCATCCCAGCAGCTGGTGGGGCTGAGACAGGAGGATCACGAGTTCAAAGCCAGCCTCAGCAAAAATGAGGCACTAAGCAATTCATCAAGACCCTGTCTCTAAATAGTACGAAATAGGGCTGGGGGTGGGGCTCAGTTCAAGTGCCCCCGAGTTCAATCCCTGGTTATCCCCCACCCTGCAAAAAAAAAGTGTTTTTCTGCTCTCAAAAGCTGGTGATTCCTTTTTTTTTTTTTAAAGAGAGAGTGAGAGACAGAGAGAGAGAGAGAGAGAGAGAATTTTTTAACATTTATTTTTTAGTTTTTTGGTGGGCACAACATCTTTGTTTGTATGTGGTGCTGAGGATCAAACCCGGGTTGCACGCATGCCAGGCGAACGCGCTACCGCTTGAGCCACATCCCCAGCGCCGAAAGCTGGTGATTCCTAAAGTGACAGATGCTAGACAGAGAGGAACTTAATGATCAGGAAAAGGAAGAATGATTCTGAACCCGGCATACAGGTGCCCGCTCATGAATGAAGAAGAAAGCACTGTGGGACCTGCCTCCGGAGGCTCCTGAGTGAATCATTTTCCCGTTTCTCTCAGTACCAAATGGGGATACGAGTCTTAGGTTGTCAGGACAACCTGGAAGCTGATGAATGAGTCCCCTGGAAGCATTAACAAATAATAATAATGTTAAATAGACGAGAGACTGGAAGACCCTAGAGTCATCTCAGTAGGCAATATCTCTAATTGATGAAGCTTGAAAAATATTAAAATCCATCCTACACTGATAAATCTTGATTCTCTCTGCTTTGCCTGCTGCAAAAGAGAGGCAGGAAAGCTGCTGAATGATTGACCAAGATACATAAGGAAGGCATTTTTTTTTTAACTTTTGATATCAGGGATCGAACCCAGGGGAACTTAACCTCCAAGCTACATCCCCAGCCTTATTTTATACTTTATTTAGAGACAGGGTCTCACTGAGTTAGGGTCTCGCTAAGTTGCTGAGGCTGGCTTTGAACTATTGATCCTCCTGCCTCAGCCTCCTGAGCTGCTGCACATGGCAGGAATGCAATTTGTACCCACTCTTGGGAGTTGGCGCTTTTGTGGATGCTAAGCATGCACTCTACTGAGCTACACCCCCAACCCTAGATGTCTTTTTAAATTAAAATTTTTATTTTGAGAAAATTATATACTCACATGTTAGTGTAAGAAATAATACAAAGAGCACCTGTAATTCCAGCGACTTGAGAGACTAAGGCAGGAGGATTGCAAGTTCAAGGCCAGCCTGGGAAACTTATCCAGACCTGTATCAAAATAAAAGTAAAAAGTCCTGGGGATGTAAAGCAGTGGTAGAGCACTTAACTGGCATGCACAAGCCCCTGGGTTTAATTCCCAACTCCAGGAAGAAAGAAGAAAGTCTAGCAATAGTGGTGCATGCCTCTAATCCCAGCTGAGGCGGAGGCAAATTCAAGGCCAGCCTCAGCAATTTAGCAAGACCCTGTCTCAAATCAAAAAGAGTTGGGGGTATATAGCTCAGTGGTAGAGTGCTCCTGGGTTTAATCCCCGCAGCCAAAAAACAACAACCACCAAAAAACAAA